AAATTATTTTGTATTGTTTTATAAAAATAAATTATTTTTTAATTCATTTTATATTGTTTTATAAAAATAAATCATATATAGTTAATCTTTTTATATCATTTTATAAAAATAAATCATTTTGTATTGTTTTATAAAAATAAATCATTTTTTAAATCTTTTTATATCGTGTTATAAAAATAATTTTTTAAAAATCATTTTATATCGTTTCATAAACATAATTTTTTTTTTTAAAATCATTTTATATTGTTTTATAAAAATAATTTTTTTTAAAATCATTTTATATCATTTCAAAAAATAAATAATTTTTTAAATCATTTCAAATCGTTTCATAAAAATAAATAATTTTTTAAGTCGTTTTATATAGTTTTATAAAATTAAATGATTTTTTTTAAACATTTCATGTGATTTTATAAAAATAAATAATTTTTTAAATCATTTTATATTGTTCTATAAAAATAATTTTTTTAAAAATTATTTTGTATCGTTTTATAAAAATAATTTTTTTAAGAAAATTATTTTATATCGTTTTATAAATCCTCATGTTAAATAATAAATCATTTTATATCTTTTAATAAGATCGTATTTATCGAATGTAATCTCTTTTAAAATATAGTTAATCTTTTGTGAACAAAATTAAATTTTAATTAGGGATTAATAAAAATATTATTACTGATATTACCATTTTGTTTTATGTATGGTTATATGAATTGATGTATAATCAACTAAATTAATAAAATTATTTGAAGATTTTATAAATTACTATATCCATATCTATTTTATTTATAAACTAAGTAATATTAATCTTGACAGTCTTTATGCAAATAAATTATAAATATTAAAAAAAGTAGTTACAATTGAGAAAACAAGTTTTTGTTGGGAAATGACGTTGTTCTTTGATTTTATTATTAAATAAATTCATTAGGTTTAATAGAATTAGAAAAAACAAGAGTCATTTCTACAATGACTCAAATAAAAGTATTTACAAAATTGGATAAGATTTAAAATGTGACTTGAAGTAAACTGATATGCATAAATTTTTTAAGCTTTGACAAAAATTATTTAAAATACGTATATATTATTGCTGAAACTGTTATGTAATTAAATAATAAATGCTTATTAACAATGAATTGAATCTGAAATGATTATGAAGTTCATTTTTCTGTCAGAATTTTTTGAAAATTTTAATTAATGAAATTATTCAATCAAATTTATGAAAATAAATAATGGTTATTTTAAAAGAACACTAATTATTTTAAAAACACAATACTTGTTTTAATAATAAACAATACATATTGTAAATACTGTTCTTTTAAAATAATTATTGTTTATTGTTATAAATTTGATTAAACAAAAACAATACTTATTATTAATGTTGATAAAAATGTAAAAAAAAAAAAAAAAAACCTGTTAGCCTTATGAATTTTTTTTATTTAAAATATTTTAAACCTTTTTTTGTTAAATGTTCTCTCATTTTTAATAATTATCTGAAGACATCTATGTATTATATTCGTATTATGTCAGCGAACGTAAAATATTTGAACTCATATTTTGATTCAAAAGTAGTTCTAACTATTCATATTTATAACATAATCAAATGAAAACTGCTTTTTAAATCATAATGGTAGGATATCATTTAAATTGTTTTGAAACCTGGACTAAAATTTGAATCTATTCCGAATTTATATTGGAACTAAACTGACTGTTTTAACTGAGTTGAGATTAATTCTAAAATGATATAACAGTTTCTATAATACAAATAGAGAACTGAAAGAGTTTTTGATAGAAGTTTCAACCAGATTTATACAAACAGTTGTAAAAGTCTGTTTACAACTATTTGTTACTTAAATTACAAAACTTCATTATAATTTTATAACGAAACTTTATAATTTAAGTTGTTTTCAAGTTGAACTAAAACTAAAATCTTTTCTGAATCTATATTCTATTTTGCTATTTAACTATTCCGATAACTATTCTATATTTAACTGTTCCGCCAAAATAAGCTTTATATTATAGAAATGAGTTCTAAAATTCTATTGGAGATTTAAAAATTGGTTTATAGTAATGAACAAGTTCTGAAAAATACTTCAGATATGTGCATGGAAAATTTACAAATACAACTTAACAGGCAGGCTGAAAAGTTCATAGGATGACACATAGATGGTGCTATTAATATTAAATTCATATGATTTTTAGTTAGCCCTAACCTTCACAAGACACATGCATACATTTGACAGCTGTTGCACTGTTAGTATGTGAGTTATAGCATTTTTAGTGTTCATCACATGCAGTCCACTCGCCTGACTGTCGATTGGACTCCGGTGTGAAATGATGGAGCCATGTTTCATCGATTGTCACATATCGACTCAAAAATTCGGGTTTATTACGATTGAACAGCTCCAAACACTGCTTAGAATCAACAATTCGTTGTTGTATTTGGGCGATCGATTGTGAGCTCGCGCGGCACCCACTTTGAACAGAACTTTCGAAAATCCAAATATTCATTCACGATACGTTCAACAAGTTCCTTTGATATCTTTAGGGTCTCAGCTATCTCAATCAACTTCACTTTACGGTTATCAGAAATTATTTTGTGGACTTTTTTGATGTTTTCTTCGGAACAGCATCTTTGGGGCCTCATTTCGCCTCGTCTAAATATAGCAAACCACTTCTCTACGGTTTATTTTCCTGGTGCAAAGTTCGAATAATGTTTATCAAGCCAAGCCTTCGCTTCAATAGTGTTTTTTTTGTCAAAAGGCAATGCTTTTTATTCATTTTTTCAAAAGTTGCTTCACTAAAAATGCTATAACTCACATACTAATAGTGCAACGGCTGTCAAATTTATACACTTGTCTTTTGAAGCTTAGGAATAACTAAAAATCATATTTATTGAATACTAGTAGCGCTATCTATGTGTCAGCCTATGAACTTGTCAACCCACCTATTACATAATGTATTTGTGGAAAAATATCTCAGATTAAAATGAACAATACAAAAATTCGAAAATGTCTGATTATCAAGAAAAATTATAAAAGTTATATTTCAAACTTAGTTGGTCAAATAATTTTTGAAACGCGTTAAAAAGTTGTATATGAAACATGTTTATTCTCAATTTAAATGATGTGGATTGATAAAAGAAATTAGTTGGTTTAATGTTTTTAACATTGTATTAATCTACATTTAAATAGTAAAAGAATTTTTATCTACAGTAAACTAATCTACATTCAACTTAAAAAAGAGTATGGATCTACAGTAAGCTATTCTACATATAATTTATAAAAGAATATTAATCTGCAGTAAATTATAAAGGGACATTAATCTACAGTAAACTAATTTGCATTTAAAATATATATAGACCTGAATCTACATTAAGATAATCTACACAAAAAATTATAAAAGAATCTACAGTACTATTAATCTATAGTAAATTAATCTACATTCATTTAAAAAAGGAATGAATCTACATTAAAGTGATTTACATATAAATTATAAAGGAATATTAATTTGCAGCAAATTAGTCTACATTTAAATTATAAAGTAACATTAATCTACAGTAAACTAATCTACATTTAAATTATAAAGAAACATTAATCTACAGTAAACTAATCTTCATTTAAATTATAAAGAAACATTAATCTACAGTAAAATCTCCATTTAAATTATAAAGAGACTTAATCTACAGTAAACTAAACTATATTTAAATTTTAAAGGAAAATTAATCTACAGTAAACTAATGTTCATTTAAATTATAAAGAAACATTAATCTACAGTAAACTAATCTTCATTTAAATTATAAAGAAACATTAATCTACAGTAAACTAATCTTCATTTAAATTATAAAGAAACACTAATATACAGTAAACTAATCTCCATTTAAATAATAAAGAGACATTAATCTACAGTAAACTAAACTACATTTAAATTTTAAAGAAACATTAATCTACAGTAAAGTAATCTTCATTTAAACACAGCTCAAATGATTCTCCCATTTCCGCTTTTGGGAATGTAGAAAAAAACTTATATTTAAATTAACAGAAATTATAAGAGAACTGTCTGTTTCAAAATGTCCTCTAAATTTGTACTTGCCCTTCAACTCTGCTTTTGAATTTTAATATAACTTATGAGTTTTGAATAGAGGGAATTGTCTAATCAAAATCCAGTCAATATTTAAAATCAAAAAATGTCGAAAATTATTTATTACTTAATTTAAAATGTAAAATATTAATTTTATTTAAAAATTCAAACAAAAGCAGGATTGAACTTTGACCATCTAATTGATTAGTAACCATGTTATTACTCTCACTGAATCACCGCTATTCATATGAGAAAATTTACTACTTGGTGTCACAGAATTGACTGTCTTGAAGCAATTTGTAGAGGTGGACACCCTTTAGATTTGCTACTTGCCTACAGAGTCAAATTGAAGAACTGAATTTTACAAGTCATGCTACTCAGTTTTTAGTTTAGAACCTAATGGACTATTTAAGACGATTAGTGAGATAGATTGGTTTTCTTATTGTCCTTCAAATATTAGCTTTAAAATATGTATACATATTTTTTGACATCTGTTGTTGTTGTTGCTCATCCCCTTGATTTAGAATCCTAAACCAAGTCCAGTAGATCATGCTGCATCAATAGAATCGTAAACGGTCCTCCCCCATTCAACAGTTGCCTCAAGGAGCCACCAATACAATCGACGAGTTGAGAGGGAGTCGCGATGGCCGAACAATGACAATGTCTTCTCATCTCCATTGAAGGTCAAACTTTTAGTTTGGCCAGTCCATAGTCTAGCTAAAGCCGTTTGAGCAGATCTAGGACAGGAGCACTGCAAGGATATACCAGGATATTTAGCGGCGTACGATGCATGAATTGGTGAAGCGACCGTTCCCAAGCGGTGAAGAGGCAAGCGACCAAATTTTTCGACTCTGGCTAAAGTCATGGAATGAACCTCTGACGCTAACAGTTGGATGAAGAAGCTTTGGGAAGTTAAAATCTTGAATGCCAACGGCGCGCGGTGTTCCCAGATGGTCATCCTACCAAGTACTAACCGCGCCCAATGATGCTTGACTTCGGTGATCGAATGAGAACCGGTATATTCAGCAATTTTTTGACATCTACTTATAATTTATTAGGGGTCCTATTATTACCCTATTGTATAATGAATTTAAAATCATTAGTATATACATGAATTTACAAAAAATATTTTACTACATGTGTGTTTCAGAGTCTAATGCAAATATGTGTTACATATTTGTTAATGAAATTTCATGCAAGTAATTAAAATCAGACATCTTTTATTACAGGCTTGAATTATCACGACGATGATTATCCCCGTCGTCGCAGGGGCCATCCTTGGGTTGGCTTTCGACATGAATTCAGTGAAACCTGGCTCAAAGTACATATTCGATCCTCCTGATATCGAAAAAAATATGCAGGTAACGTCAAAAATGATTTTTATATTATATTTCATATTCGTTTCTTAGGGCACAAATATGATTTCCAAAAGTTAGATCTGGGTATAACTCGGCTGTGCCTTAAGAAGCTGATTCTACTAGTTCACATTCAACCATTTTGCTACTAATTATTATAGCACATTAGATACTAATTATTCATTCCCTCAAAGATTCATCATTGTAATTCTTCCAAAAAGAAATGCATTTCATAGTCCATAAATTAAAGACGAGCTAACATTAAACCATTTTGCTACTTATGAGTATTCTAGCACATTTTCATTCTCCCAAAGATTCATCATTATAATTCTTCAGATATGCATTCACAGTATAGGAATTATAGAAGAGCTCACATTCAACCATTTTGCAGGTTAAGATTATGCTAGTGCATTTTCATTCTCCCAAAGATTCATCATTGCAATTCTTGAGATATGCATTCACAGTATAGGAATTATAGAAGAGCTCACATTCAACCATTTTGCAGGTTAAGATGATGCTAGTGCATTTTCATTCTCCCAAAGATTCATCATTGTAATTCTTGAGATATGCATTCACAGTATAGGAATTATAGAAGAGCTCACATTCAACCATTTTGCAGGTTAAGATGATGCTAGTGCATTTTCATTCTCCCAAAGATTCATCATTGTAATTCTTGAGATATGCATTCACAGTATAGGAATTATAGAAGAGCTCACATTCAACCATTTTGCAGGTTAAGATGATGCTAGTGCATTTTCATTCTCCCAAAGATTCATCATTGCAATTCTTGAGATATGCATTCACAGTATAGGAATTATAGAAGAGCTCACATTCAACCATTTTGCAGGTTAAGATGATGCTAGTGCATTTTCATTCTCCCAAAGATTCATCATTGCAATTCTTGAGATATGCATTCACAGTATAGGAATTATAGAAGAGCTCACATTCAACCATTTTGCAGGTTAAGATGATGCTAGTGCATTTTCATTCTCCCAAAGATTCATCATTGCAATTCTTGAGATATGCATTCACAGTATAGGAATTATAGAAGAGCTCACATTCAACCATTTTGCAGGTTAAGATGATGCTAGTGCATTTTCATTCTCCCAAAGATTCATCATTGTAATTCTTGAAATATGCATTCACAGTATAGGAATTATAGAAGAGCTCACATTCAACCATTTTGCAGGTTAAGATTATGCTAGTGCATTTTAATTCTCCCAAAGATTCATCATTGTAATTCTTGAGATATGCATTCACAGTATAGGAATTATAGAAGAGCTCACATTCAACCATTTTGCAGGTTAAGATTATGCTAGTGCATTTTCATTCTCCCAAAGATTCATCATTGCAATTCTTGAGATATGCATTCACAGTATAGGAATTATAGAAGAGCTCACATTCAACCATTTTGCAGGTTAAGATGATGCTAGTGCATTTTCATTCTCCCAAAGATTCATCGTTGTAATTCTTGAGATATGCATTCACAGTATAGGAATTATAGAAGAGCTCACATTCAACCATTTTGCAGGTTAAGATGATGCTAGTGCATTTTCATTCTCCCAAAGATTCATCGTTGTAATTCTTGAGATATGCATTCACAGTATAGGAATTATAGAAGAGCTCACATTCAACCATTTTGCAGGTTAAGATGATGCTAGTGCATTTTCATTCTCCCAAAGATTCATCATTGTAATTCTTGAGATATGCATTCACAGTATAGGAATTATAGAAGAGCTCACATTCAACCATTTTGCAGGTTAAGATTATGCTAGTGCATTTTCATTCTCCCAAAGATTCAGCATTGTAATTCTTCAGATGGAAATACGTTTCACAGTCTATGAATTATAGAAATGCTCTCATTAAACCATTTTGTTACTTAAGAATATTCTAGCACATTTTCATTGTGCCAAACATTCATCATTGTAAATATTCTGATAAAAATACGTTTCACAATCTATGAATTATAGAAATGCTCTCATTAAACCATTTTGCAAGTTAAGATTATTCTAGTGCATTTTCATTCTCCCAAAGATTAATCAGATTGTATTTTTTCAGATAAATTATGTCTATTAAAACAAGACTATCTCAAAATTTCACTATGAAGTTTTGTTGCGGTTTATTTTTCAGTTACCTGCAGAAATTACAGACACTTTTAAGAGTTGTTTACGGACGACTTTAATGACATTAATGATATTAATGAATTATTTATCTAATGACTTGAAGCTGCAGCAAATTCCGTAATTTACAGATATACTGATGTAGCATTTACTTTTTACATATACTGCATGAATATTATGAAAATGTACTTATTTCTGGTTTTGTAATCACAATACTAGTTTGAGAATACAGTGCATACCAAGAAATAAATGAGACCCATTAAATATGAACTTCAATTACGATTTCATTTGTCAATTAATATTATAAACTCTAAGCACATTTATAAAGAACTTTTAATGGTACAAAATGCTTTTTTGATTGTACGAAATCTGTATAAGAAGACTAATGAAAAAAAAATAGAAAAGAAAGTTTCAAGTTGACTTAAAACCCTCAGAGTAGGGAAGCTGTTGATGGGATTAAAGTGTTTATGATTTTATTCGATAACATCAATTATATGATCGTGAGAAAGAACAATACTTTTGGAAGGCTTTAGATACAGTTATTGTATTTAGCTCCATATTGTAAGAAACGTGAAGACATCTCTCAACCAGCCCATTTATAGATGCAAAATTCGTTAAAAAATCTTCTAATTCGTATAAAGTTCGTATATTCGTATAATTAGTATAAAGCATTCTACTTCTTAAATCAAACTCGAAAATCATTTTTCCGCCAATTAACGTTGTCTACCACTAAGCTACGTATTGGGAATATAACAAACTACTTTATTATATTTATTGCCAACTATATGGAAGCCACTAATTTTATCTTAGGGGATCATTATCTTTGGAGACATAAAGCAAATGAGACCAAAATTTTGAACATTGTCGAAGGCTTAAAATTAAAAACAATATTCCAGAAAACCAAGGAAGAAATACAGTTTTTAGTAAAGAGAACAAAGGTAAATGTATTTAAGAAACTTAAATAAAATATGATACTTTTTACTTTAGCTCATGCCCGACTTCGAAATTTCTATACCTCTCTCTGATATTAACTACTACATTTCAGAGTTTAATAATTTTCTAATTTTTTTACAATTAAAAGAACGCGGTAATACAATTACTAACAGTTCTATAACACAACAATATAATCACTAAAGTATAAGGAAAAACAAGAATATAATTCATGGCTCAGTGGCAACGTGCACCACTGGTGAGCATTAGGCCTGATGGTCAATCCACTGGCGGCATTGTTGTAGACACTGTTTCAAAAAAACGAGAGGCTCGATAGTGATTGTGATGTTCAGCACCTTGCCTGGTTAGTCGGACTACCTGGTAGGAGTTTTCCGGGATTTCTCCCCTACGATGAGAAAATGCGGGTAGTTCCTACTAAAACTACTACCAGTAGTACTGGAAGCTACTGCCCTCTTCAACATCAACCTACGGGTGCTCCATCACAACAGATTTGGTTTGGTTTGTCGCTCTACGGTCATCTTGTGCACTCTTAAAGCTAAACAGACCAGGACATACAGTGTAACGTGGATTCCGAACCACTTACAAACATCCATGCCACCCCCAGGATTTGAACCTGAAGCCTGGGATACCAGAGGCCAGAGCGCTATCCACTTGGCCACCAGGCCGCCCATCACAACAGAAGCTTCAACCCTCTTCCCTCCATCCATGAGTAAACTTTTCATGATATGCCAGTCCGGTACTGAAGAAAACCGATGAATTGATACACAGAATGCAATTATTATAATACACTGAAGTGACAAAAGTCATGGGATAGCAATATGCAAATTTTCAGATGGCAGTAGCATCACGTAGAACAGGTATAAATGCGCAGTGCTTTCGCAGAGCTTTCATTTCTGTTCAAGTTATTCATGTGAAGAGGTTTTGACGTGATGATGACCGCACGACGGGAATTAACCGACTTTGAACGCGGAATGTTAGTTGGAGCTAGATGCATGGGTCATGCCATTTCGGAAATCGTTAGGGAATTCAACATTCCCAGATCCACTGTGTCAAGAGTGTGCCGAGAGTATGAAATTTCAGGCATAACATCCCACCATGGACAGCGCAGTGGTCGACCGCCTGCACTTAACGACCGAGACCGGCAACGTCTGCAAAGAGTCGTCAATTCTAACAGACAAGCAACACTGAGTCAAATAACCGCAGAAATCAATGTGGGACGTACAAGGGACTTGTCTGTTAGAACTGTGCGGAGAAAGTTGGCTTTCTTGGGCTATTCCAGCAGAAGACCGACTCGAATGCCTTTACTGACAGAAGACATCGCTTGCAGCGACTCTCGTGGGCACGTGAGCATATCGGTTGGTCCCTAGATGAATGGAAAACCGTGGCCTGGTCCGATGAGTCACGATTACAGTTGGTAAGAGCTGATGGTACGGTTCGAGTGTGGCGCAGAACCCACGAAGCCATGGACCCAAACTGTCAGCAAGGCACTGTTCAAGCTGGTGGTGGCTCCGTAATGGTGTGGGATGTTTTTCCATGGCATGGACTTGGTCCTCTTGTGCGACTGGACCGAACATTGACTGGAAATGCTTATGTTCAGCTA